AAAAAAAAAAGATGATTCAAATGAGAGCAGTACGAGTGTTAGGCAAAACAGTCGTGATATTTTCAGCGGCGGAGGCTGTGTTCTTTTTTTTTTTTCCTTTAATAATTATTTCCCCTTTTTTTTTTCAACATAGCAACGCATCACTGTTCAATTTTCACCTCCATCTGTGTGATTATTAATCAGATCACACATCAATTGCCAGAACCAGCAAAGAAATTCAGCCTGTAATAAAACTGTCATGTGCTGTGGTATAAAGACAGATGTTGCCAGTTGTGTGATAACATAATTAAACTGTTCTGTGAGGGATTCCATAAAATTATTCAAATTGGACGAGCACTATCATTTTACCAATAAGCAATTTAGGGCAATATGCAGTGTCATAACACTGATGTTATCCTCTCTGCCAGATTTTCCAATAAGTCGGAGCCTGCGCTTGGCCTCCTGTGACAAAATGAACAGTATACATGAAGATACCTGAGAGCTCCTAGAGATGGAGGAGTATGCTCAGCCAGACCGCGGGGACTCGGATCCTTTCAGTGTAATCTGCTATGTGGATGCACACTCGCACAAACTGTGTGTGTGTGTGTGTGTGTGTGTGTGTGTGAGTTAGATGACAAGTCTAAGGAAAGAGGCACACTTTCAATGGGATAATGCACCACAGCTACTGGTCAAAAAGCACCCAGAGCAAAGGAGGCTTCATCACACATGTTAAATATTCAGCATTGCACACACACACACACACACACACACATATATATATATATATATAACTGCAGTAAAACAAATATAGAGATAATGCAGGAATTCAATTCAAAAGCGCAGTGATAAGACTGTGTTCTTGTTGTGTAGCAGTGTATGTATTTCAACCCAGGCATAGCACTCACTCCTTCTTGCCCTCAACTCTGCAGCAGAGCACATACGATTAGCAGAGATCTGAGGCAGAAAATGCTCTCTGGCCTCCTCTCTGACCTGGTGCTGTTAACTCTCTCAGTCTGACCATTAGCCACTAATGTGGACTGGATGTCAGAAACCAGCAGGTCTTGCACTCCAAGGCCTGGCCTTTGGGCCCTCTATTCTTACTGAGCTTGAATGTGCTCATATGTGAACTGTATATCTGTGTGTGTGTGTGTGTGTGCCTGTGTGAATGGACTGGGATAGCGAGGCTGATCATGTAGCACTTCTCCCTGAAGCTCGGCAGCAGAGAGCTCGGTGACAGTGGCTAAGATGTGCATTTCCACCTTCTCAAGCCTCCACCAGGGACCGTGTAAGACTTGCATTATGCAAACAGGAAACCTGTGCCCGCTCAGCTCTTTCTGCAGCCACTGTTATGCGTGTCACTCTCTCCTCTCTGTACACGCAACACGACGGACACCTCGACCACAGAGGCAGAGCAAGCGGGAGGAGAAAAAAAAATACTCATAATTGGCTGGGTCTTATCTTTCAATATGAAGCAAATCTTTAAATGCACTTGTTTGACAGTATGCTAGATGTGTATGCAATAAAAGAAAAGCAATTATTCATCCCTGTTTTATATGTTTTTGGGTGTACAGTATCACTGAGAGGAAGAGACAGAAGATATTTTAGCGGTCGGGCTAAGTGTATTAAAAGGGCTCTCCTAAATGACAGGATATTAATATTTAATGCACTAGAGTTGTATCAACTGAACCAAATTTTGATCAGAGATTGACTTGTTAAACAGGTGAGACGCTTTGCTGAAAATAACCATATATCAGAGGAAACACTGGTAGGGAGCAGAATGTCCCGAAGACAGCAGCTCCGGAGCTAATACAACGTCCCTAACATTATTACTGCCAGCGTGTGTTTATCTGACAGCTACAGCTGCACAACAAAACTTCCTGTTGCAAAATCATTTAAATCACAAAACAGGTTATTGCAAAAGCGCAACTCTTTCATACTATTGTTGTTGTTTTATTTCTCCCCTACAGTATCTTCACTTCCTCATGTGGATAACGTTAAAACCACAACTTCTGCAACACAAACAAAAACAGACAGAAAATAAACTGATTCTGCCGCAGACACATATGTGCTAAGAAAAAAAAAAAATCTATTCGTGCTCTCAAAACAGAGACGTCTAACACAAGCAACAGCAAAACAGAGGACAACAAGATGTACAACAAGCATTTGCCCAAATGTCTAACGATTACAACACAACAGATACCACATTGAGTTCCTTAAAAAGTGAAATCTGCTAAATTTCAACAGCATCTAGGAAAGAAAAGACGCCAGACAGCACCTCTTTTTTTTTTTTTTTCACCCTTAGCTCTTAACAAACAGTATTTGACTTACTAATAGAGATGCTTAAATCAAGCTTATGGTCCACTTCCCCCAAATCTGACTAGTCTACAAGATGAATTCCCCTGTCAGAATCAAGATGATCAAACAGATTACAATTATTTCATCCCCCATCTTTATTAATGAGGACTGTCTTTCATAGTTATGTTCCCTAATAAGAATAAATGATATGCCACTGCCAGGTTTGTTGTTGCGGCTCACTCAGGGGACTCTCAGACATTTGCACTTTGAGTCTGGGAACATTTTAGATTGATTTTTACATCACCTAAAGGGGTAATAGCATCTTGGATGTTTTGTGGAGAACAAAGAATGCAGAAGAAAAAAAAAAAAAACCCTCAGTGTGTCAGTTAGAGGCGTATTAGTGCGAGCCGCAAATAAAACTTGAAAGAAAGACTGTGAAATGCCACAAAAGTAAAAAGTTATCAAGTAATTGAGCGAAGATCGTAATGCCCTGGGGACAATTAACATGGTTCATGGTGCATGAGTGAAAATCCTGGGTTAGTCTAATGGGAGAATAAAAAGACTGCCTGCCTGCCTTGCCAGTAACACTACCCTGGTAAGTAGCCCATCAAAGTCCAGTGTCAGGAGCTGAGAGTGAGACATCTCGTCCTTCGTTGCCATCCATGCGTCATTTATCAACCACAACAATTAATACACCTCCCTCTATTTCAAGTCCAAACGCAGGCCACAGGAATTAACCACTGAATTTGTTCAAAAGGCATGAAGCAAAAAGCGCTTGTTATTTACCACAGCGGAAAGCACAGGGCAGAAAATTTGACTTTATTATATTGAATTGGGATGGAGAGAGTTTCTTGTTTTCCCTCTTTAAATGCCAGGGCAGATGCTGGAGAGCAATAGTTCTTTCTGGATGACTAGAAAACAGGGACCATGCTTGGACGACTGGCTCTATTCTAGTGGCAGGGCTTTATTTCCATCCCTTCTCGGTGTCAAGTGCACATCCATGACACTTTCTTCTCTCTCTCTCTCTCTCTCCCTCTCCCCTGCCTCACATTTATCAAAGTTGTAACCCTGTTGTCTTTGCAGAGCGAATCAGAATGTGCCCCTGGCAAAGAATGAAGGAAAAGTCAACAGGAATTAAGTTTCAGTGCAACTGTTTACTCAACTGTGGCCTGCAGTTATTGAAATTTTATCCATGGTTTTGTGTGACTACTGCAGTAATGAATTCAGTATGGCTGTGATTTTCTCACTGACGACATGCTCATTCTGAGCTGGAAAAAAAGATGGGTGGGAGGTGGGGCCTTGGACTGGGGTCTGGAGGTGGGGGAGTGGGGATGAAGAGTAGATCTGGGGAAGCCTAGAGGCTTTACAGTCTAAGACTGAGGAAGTGGACACACATTGATGCACCCTTTCTACATACTGATCAACTAACACTCCCATGTAATGCCACAAAAATGTGATTATGAGAGGCGCGCTGTTCCAAAGCCCAGAAGCCTTCTGACAGCATCACATTTAGCTCATACTGCATGTTTGCCCCTTTACCAGTTATTCAGACATACTTTATGCACACATCTATGCTCAACAATTAAATAAAGGTTAATGCAAAAGAGGGAAACAGTGAAAGATATGACAACTGACAACAGTGTTTTACTGTTACTGCTGACATATCAATAGATCTAAGCGACACATTTGAAACGAATTATGTCATATGACAAAACCTTTGTGTACTACTGCAATTATCACTGCATTTACCTGTGAACAACATCAGCTGAGATGCCAGGCAATGGCTTATCACAATGCTAGGCTGTTTAGCTCTGTTCCTAAAATGAGATACGAGTGAATCTGGCTGTTATCATCTTTTCTGACAAAAGAATTGTTTATCACAGTGTCCAAATATCATATCATCATAATGCCACGATAATTTTGCTGAAAGATGATAAATGGTAACACTGAGTTATTGCTCAGCTCTATACGTTACAATGCCACATCCTCTGTGTTCCACGCCGCAGCCTTGTTTTTTTTCCCTGTACAAATGCTGATGGATGTGCTGTGACAACAGACAACGGCACAGAGCCTGTGCATCATCACCAAACAGCTCCTGACAACAACCCTAGTTGTGCTGTCGGATAGACCAAGATAGCAGAAGACACACTGATCTTTTCAATGTTGTTTCCTTAAACACAATGTCGTGTGCCACACATAACGCTGACACCAACAGAAAGAGCTTGTCTGTTTGCCTCAAGTCTGAGATGGTGAAAATGTTTCAGCTTCACCGACGATAACGCTGGCGTGCATCTCCGCACCTCATTGGTTAACACGGCAGAGTGTGGCATTAGTTGTGAGTGTGAGGTGTGTTTACAATGAGCCAGAGGAAAATGCTGTCATCCTATTGGATGTAATGGTTTCTTAACTGTCTACAAAATCCTGCGACACCTACATACTTAAAATATGTCAGAACATCATTATAAATATTTTACCAAAATGCAGATGCTGCATGCTACAATAAACACATTCACAACCAAACACAATCACACAGAGAGAGCACTTCTCCTTCTTTAAATATTCAAAAAGGGCCTCAATATACATAAATAATAATAATAATGTGTTTATGTACTAGATGTACTTTGAGGGGGGATTAAATATTAAGTGGCACTTTAAGAGGAGGATTGGGCCTGCTGTTGACATGGCTTAATAAAGTGAAGACAGGTGTGAAAGAGGGGTTGGTTTACCTGGTGCTGCTGGAGATGCAGGAGGTCCACTGATGGCGTGGCACTTTTGGGTCGTCCCTCCCTGGGTACACCCTCCACGCTTGCTCCTCCATTTTGATTGGCTGGTCCGTTGCTCGTGGCCTCCGTCCCAGATTCTTGCATCATGACTTAAAAACCTGAGAGAAGACACAGAAAAAGAGAAAACAGGGACAGAGACAGAGAGAAACAGCTGTTAAAACACACAGCAATGAGGTCGCATTTCAACTGTGGGCCAAACTATAAACATCTGTCATATCCTTCCCACACAATTTCACTTTTATTGCAGGTTTCCCTGCTGGTTTGTGCTTCCCTGTGTCTTGTTTGTTTGCTTGTAGCATATGCAATGAGGCAAACAGACACACACACTCACAGACTGCTTCTAAACAGAGCAATGAACAGCTCCTTTGTTTTGTCTTTTCCGGTGCGGATCCTTTGCAGATGACAAGTCCACACTGGGCTGGAGAAAAGTGAGCGGGACTCAGGTTTTGTTTGTGTTCTCCATTATAGGGGATATGCAGGGGTGCGGTGGAGGGGTTGGGGTCCAGCACACATCGGAGAGGAACCCAACCTGAGTTGAGTGAGAGCAGAGGAGCCCAAGAAAACACTGGACCTCCAAAACAAAACACTTTCTATGGAAATGGATATATTTACTTGCATGACTCCCAGAAGAACCACGGCAGAATGGCTTTTTAATGGGAAACAGGGCGACTGTGTGAGGCCTGCCAAAGGATCTCCATGAGAAACATCCAATCTGAGGCTGAGCAAAAACAGTCAAATCCTTAAGGGGTGCTCAATTAACACCGAAATGCAGTTCTGAATATAAATAAATGGCTTTAAAATGGAAGAAAAAAAAATTTGCCTTTCATAACTTAATCCAACTCCGAAGAGCAGCATACAAATACTGGCAGTGCAGTTTTAAATACTATTGCATGGTCTTTGTAAAAAATATTGCAGTAGTAATCAGTGTTAAGTGTGAATACACAGCTATTTGCTTACATGTTACATCCTCTGTTCTGTTTTTGGATACACAAAAGCCAGACAGACATGCCGTCTTCCCCACCACACCCCCTCTGTCTCTCTGGGGATAAGTGCCAGTGACACTGGTGCATATCTGTGCCTGTATTCCTTAAATCAGTGGAATGATTTACAGCTATTGTGCGCTGGTCACAGGCCTCATTGGCGCAACGCGTCTAGCCTCCCAATTCCAGGGCAGTTAATGAAGCTGACCAAGTCAGGCAGAAGCGAATTAACTTGGCTGATTAATTATTTATATGAAGCAGAATAAATGCCTTTAAAACACTGGGCCTCATCATGAAAGAATGTGAAAATGGAACCAAATGCAGATTTATGGTGTTGCATTTAAGGCGCGTAGCAGGAAGGGCAATGTGACTTAATATGTGCTCAGGTACATAGGCACGGTGTCTCCAGAGATCCGATCTAAACAAGATACAGACACACAGCCAGACACCACGGGGACACACACTCAGGCTGACAGATAGGAAATTGAGGTTGACAACTTGTCACGTAAGAATATTTACAGAGTATAGGCGAGATAATAATCTAGACATGGGATTATTTAAAAGAATAAACAGTGCCATAAGCAGCACTGCTGTTTTAAATCCTGGTTCTCAGGAACAGGCTCCCAGCTCAGTATCACCAGTAGCAGTTTTAAGCTACGGGGAGCTAAAACAGTACCAGAACAAAAATCAAACCCAAAGCGCGCTATGGTTTACATCTCCTCTCCTGTAGAAGCCCTCCTTGCAAGAAGCATAACTGAATGAGTCATCTGACACTGTGGCCTGTGCCGGTTCAGTTGTGTGTCACAACGCCCCCACACTCAGGGGCCTGTCTGAGCAGCTTGGGCCCAGCCTACAGGCCCTGTTCTCTGGGCTGGGACTAGAGCCGGCCCCCCTCTCCCTCCAGACAGATGTTGACCCGGCTCACCCCACCAGTCTGGCACGGCCTGCCTCCATAATGGGATTTTCTAAACAAGGAGTGAGCAAGAGGAATACTGTGGGATGGGACGCAGCCAGCCACAACTCCATCTACAGGCCTTCGCTTGCACCGACTCCCTTTCTGAGACACCAATTAGAAACACACATTCTCGGGCGAAATTAAATGCCATTTGAAATAAACCATGTGCTGACGTTATTCACCCCCACTTATTTTTCAAATAAAAGACATTTTTCCACATGCAGGGGAAAAAAGCGGCCCTTCTTTCTTTTTTCTTAAGCTACAGAAGGGGGGTGGGGGGTAGGGGGGGGGCAGTAATGGCTATTATACATGCACTGTCATTCCATGCAAAATTTTCATAATTGTAACGGAAAGGCGTAAATTTCCAAATGCATGGCATCTCCAAAAGTAATCAAGAGAATGAGCCGCGGGCCTATTTTAATGTATGCAAAACTAGTGACCCACAATAAAGGAGAGAGAGGCTACAATGAATGCAAAGTAATGCGCGCATGCTTGGAACCGGCACTGATGAGGGGATGGCTAAAATTAACACCCAATTAATTTTCGAATTGACAAACAAATGAAACCCATAAATCTACTTTCTCATTAATTTTACCACAGAATAATTCAAAGCTGCAATATCATGAGTGAAAAAATTGGAGGAAAAAAGAAAATGGAAAATGGGCATTATCCATCATAAATATCAAGCAGATAGGAAAGAGCCTTATTAGAGAGTTGTGCTGATAACAATGTTAATCTGTGAAGCGCTGAGGCAGGGACACCATCATCAGCTGGGGCCCGGGCAACTCTGCCACGTGACTTGGCCCTGAGTTTGTTTATCTATCTATTTATTTTCACTTTGCTCAGGGGATAGCCTTGTCTGCGATGACTCAAAAAGCTCTAAGTTTTTCCGTCCGTTCCATTTATACGACGCACACAAATTCGGCTGTAATTATGGGTCAAGTGTCCTGCTAAAAGGGGTGTAGTTACTGGGGTTAAGAACATACGTATTCATGGTCCAAACACAAACATTTCAACATAAAACAATAGACAAAAGGAGGCATGAGAAGAAAAATAAAAATAATGCTTCTTGTTATTAATGGAGCATGTCAACGTATTTTCTGAGCCGGAAAAGAGCAAAGAATAAAAAATAAAGAAAAAGGAATCAAAATAATGGAAATTCCAGGAGATCAAAACAAGGCAACAACAGTTTGTACAAAAAAGAACTGGCTGTGTTGTTGATTATTAGATGCCTGTCTGTTTTTTGGGGGGGGGGGGAGTGCTTGCAAAACAAAACAAGTGTTTGGAACAAACACTGGATAATAAAAAAGGTCGGAGTTTCTGTTTGTTTACAGTTTGTTTTGTTTCCCCTGCCTCAAATATGAGGAGTACAGTACAAACAAGAGTCACATGTGTCTCCCACCTGACCAGACAGGTTGAAGGTTAAGAACAGCCGGCGGCCAGAGCTCATCAACCCTGCCTCTCCGCCTCGTCCCCTCCCTCGCTGGAAATCTAATGCCTGTCCCCCTGTCATGCTTGCCTGGAATTCAACAGCTCAAACAAGTCAGCAGTCGATTCAAGGTAGGGTCGGCCCGTGCAGCTGTGCTTTGACCCTTCTCCGTGTTCTGTTTTTCTTTAATGCTCATGACAGTAAAGCCTCAGTGGCCACCTGCTTCGATTCGCCAAGTTCTCACACAGCCCTTGTTTACACAAGCACACAACAAAAGCACAACATTTCTTGGGTGGGAGATAAAGACACACAAAGGAGGAGACAATGGGGAGAGGTTCACTTTAGAGCTGTTTAGGTTCGGCTTGGTTGCTAGACTAGACAACACATCGGCGTGTACCAAAAGGTGCAACAACAGAATGCTTCTCAAGGTTTCTTAAAGAGTCTTATGTTTTCCTGTATTTTGGCTCCCGATTCCAGGGAAAAATCAAAAGACAAACACAAGCTGCATGTTAAGTAATCCATTATCACAGCCCTTATCACTGATAACAAACTACTCTGAGTATCTGTCTCTTGGAAATCTTCCACGGGACGAGAGGCACAGAAATTGGGCTAAATTTCAACCAGCGTTCCAAACTGGACTCCCTCCCGCGCTCGCGTTCCACGTATCATCTCCGAAATCGGCATCTTGCAAACCAGAACTACCTTGATCAAAACAACACAGAATCTGGACATCTCATCGCCGCTCCAACTACAATTCTCTGGCTGAGAAACTAACGCCTGGGATGACATTCTGCCAAAGGAGACTTCACAGTCAGACCAAACAACCATGTAATCTTGTCAGCCACTTCAACCAAGTCACAGATAAGCAAAGCATATCTCCAGACTACTGTGACAATATAGAAGTAACACGCAGCCCAACCACCACCACCCTGCAAAAAAAATTGCTGCACCACACGAGACACAGAAGCGTTTTCCAAGTTCTTCCCAGACCTTGTACTGGGTATAAGCAGACCACTCACACTGGCAAACAAAGCAGCTGTTTGTTTAATAAGTGATTGCTGCCATGGCTACAGTAAACAGGAGGAACAGGGGTTTGTGTTTATGAACAAACACATCTCCTTGCAGGAGCCATTTAATATTAACCAGGTGGAATGATCAGCCCATTTCCTAGGTGACACTCGGGGCAGGCATAGTGTAAACAGGTTGTAGGAGGGGAGGAGAGGGGGGCCAGGCTTTAGGGAATCAAGGTCGATGCAAATGCTGCTTTGACAAGAATAAACAGCGAGGCAAAAGTCAAGATAAACAAAAAGTCATTCTTCTGACATCTGAAGACGCATTAAAGCTGGTGTGTTGCAGCTGCTAGCAAGCCACCGTGAATGAGAACAAGATGGGCCACGGTGGGGTGGGCAGCGATGGAGGTGGTCTCCTATGGAAACACATCATTGTCAAGCAAAGCAACCAAGTGTTTCTTCCAAACCCAACAAACAGTGGCTCTTCACAACAGCACAGCGAGGAACTTGTAAAAGCATGTTAAACATTTACCCCTTTCAATTATTCAGTAACTGGGTTTGTGGAAATAACAAAGGATATCTGAGGGCTGCAAACACTGGAACTCACAACAGCAAGAGTAAGGAGTGGAAAGAAGACAACAACAAAAAAAAATAAAGGAATTAGGTGGAGCTGAACTGGAAAAAAAAAGCTATCTGTCATAAATTAAAGGGTCTAGTGTTGATT